TCGCAAATGTCGTCCCACATATGCGGTTGGCGCATTCGTGCTAACGAATGTGAGTGATCTGATCAGGATAATAATTAAATTTTTTTGGTTTCCTGTCGTGCCGTGCGAGCCAATACAAAAAAATCCTGCTTGGCGCGATTTCATCAAGCGCGTTTAACGAAAAAGCTGGCTCAATGCATTTTGCGAGAAACTCGCCAACAAACATATGAATGTGTCACACTCACCTCGTATTCTAATGTCAATAAAAACTAAAAAGGAAAAAATATCGATATATCGATAATATCGAGTTAAAATGGTCGATATATCGGATATCGACATTTTCCTGACTTCGATATAAATAATGATATTTCAAAAGACTGCATCCCTACGCAAATTTGTTAGCGATTTCGATTTTAATAATTATAGCGAATGTTTAACTGCTGTATTGTTATAATGTAAATAATGTATCGATGATTACCTGCGATTGTGATAGATAAAATAAAATATTGTAGCTCCCTTCTATCTAATTTTCTGTGTCAAAAATCTTTTTGCCCTGTGGTTAATAAAGAATAGATATTTTGCACTGTACCTATACTTATCTGGATCTAATCTACCATATATAATATTAACATGCTGTTTGTGCAGTTCCAGCATACCGTTTCAATAGTTGCTTTTATGTAATGTATTTAATGTAGATAATTGACAAATTCAGTTTGATGTAAATCCTCATTTATTGCGAGAATATTTTGAAATTAACCACACAATGGTAAATCGTTCTAAGAAGTCTATCGTTAAACAGAGGTTAACACAATGTGCGATGTTACTTTGTTTACACTAAACGAACAATACACAACAGTACCATACATTGTTAAAATTAACTTTGTATCGATGGTATTTCTTCTACTAAAACAACTCCTTTGTTTAGACAGTATATGGTAAACAGAAAACAAAAGCTTTTTTTGTGTAGTACGTTGGTCGAGATAAAATGTCTTGCGCTGATTTAAGACTATCTTACTATTATAATCAATTTCATAGAATCCTGAGAAATCATCTTAAACGATACACATACAATTAGGGTTGCCAACCCTACTTTGTAATATAGTATCCTATTATATTATGGAAACAAATACTATATTTCTAAAAAAAAATAGTAGGCGAAATAACAATATTTTGCTTAAAGCAGACTTGCCAGTAAAAACTTTCTTAAAAATAATTACTTAATGATTAAGGAATATAGCAGCAAATATATACCTATTCATTTCATAAATAAAGTAAATATTTTTAAGACCTACATTTTTCCCATTTTTTGCCATCTACTATATTTTTAGAGGTAAACGTTTCCAAAATACTATATTTGATAGAAAAAAAGTTGGTAACCCTTGATACAATCACAGTATTATATCGTAGTTCGTAGTATAGTCGTAGAATTATATGTGGTAAAAATAGAAGTAGTTGATTTCGGATCCGTTTGCTATTTTTATCTTGATTGAATTGGTTTACTTTTTGGAGTATTCAGAAATATTTGTGACAACAAAAATAATCGGCCTATTATAAGCAAACATACCTACATCAACAAAAATAAAAGGAATTGGTAGATTGAAACCGATATCGTATCTAGTAGGTATATATTATATCGCCAGGGGAAAAACAAAATCGCTTATAGGACGCTACATTGGTGTTACTTAAAAATTAACTTTTTCAGTTTTGGATTAATGTTAATTTTTAAGCATCATCAATGTGGCGTATAAGCGATTTTGCTTTTCCACTGTCGAATTATTAATTATGACGAAAGTTTCGAAGAAGTAGCAATATAGACTGGATATATCTATTCTGCGAGAGAGTATTATATTGATGTGAACGAGACGCCCTACGCCTAGACGCAGGGGTCGCCAACCGCGAGGGCTTCGACCTGCGTGAGTGGAGCGCCTGCGCGACCCCGCCCGACTCGCCCGGCGCACCCGGCCAGCTATCACCAACCCCGCAACCCCCGCACCACCGAACTGTCTGGGACTCCCGAACGCCCGGGAACTAGAGCGCCCGCAGCTTAAATTTATCTCGTCGCCCGGCCCTAGCAACAGCAAGTGATACCTAGGTGCACTAGCTGCCATGATTGATTACTGTCCCACGCCACTGCGTGCGCAGATATGCATGTCACGCCCCTGTTCGTTTTCTATTCAAACCTTACCTAAATTTAGAACCGATTTGCACACAAAAGCGTAAGTAAATCCACGGGTAAATCGTATGAATGTGTTGAGCAGTTATCATCCTATTCCGACAATAAAAATGGAATAATATTAGTATTATATAATAAGTTGTAATAGTTTTTTTACTTTAATCTTAGTCTATTTCGCAAGCTTTTCAAGTAAGCTTTCAAAGTTGGATGAACAACGACATTCTTTTGGCACAGTAGTTGAATTGTAGTCGTTCTGTATTCCTCTTATTGAAATAGAAATTTCTTAACCAGCACGACGAGGTATTCTGCTAATCGGTTAAATCCTTTGATTTAATGTATGTAATGAAACTAGTTTCCCGGATAAAGCGATTCTGCAACGCCCAGCGATTTGTGGATATTTATAGGTTTTTGCTCTTAAGCTATGCCGGCTTTACAACAACAAATATTTTGTTGACTGAAACTATATATACTATTTTATTTAAAAGTGTATTGAGTTATGTGCATTGATTATAAATGAATACAGCGAAGCTTTCACAACAAGTTAAAATTGAACAATTTAACTACATACACACTTAATTGTCCTATCATGTTGAACTCCAATATAAATGTAGAGTTCTGAATTCGTCAACCTATTTTTAGTTTAACGATTGCAAAGGTTAGATAATGTCATTTTTAGATTTCGCTTTTGGTAGCATGGCAATAACAATGACCTACGATGGTAGATCGAATGAATTGGGTGTTAGAGAGTGGGGCTTCGCCGGGCGCTTTACGTCGCAGTCGGAATCAATACAGCTGCTCTCCCCGCTCGGCTCGAGCTCGCCCGTCTGGAGCCCGTCGCCATAGTTACGCAGGGAGATAAACCAAGCCATCGCCCCGCCCTCCCCGACACTCGCTGCCTCAACCCCTCGTGATCCCGATTCCCAATGTGGCATCCCACGCACGTGGCGGGCGCCTCATTATTTGCTCACTTATTTTGACTTTCATGGGAGATGACTGTTATAGTCGCAGCCTGTTGTTGCCACGAGTATTTCAGCCGTTATAATTTTAGGTGCTCTATAAATGATAACATAACGATCCTTTATACATTGTGGTAATATATGTAACTAGCGGCCCGCCCTCGCTTCGCTTCGGTGTAGAGCTGATGTGTAGACTACAGATTTTGTTCTCAAGCTTGTATTTATACACAATGACATTCATCTATGATTTTTCCTATACCTGCATGCAAATCGGTTTAAAATTGACAAAGTTTCATACAAACTTTCATTCCCTATTTTATCCCCTTGGGGGTAGAATTGATCAAAATCCTTTCTTAGCGGATGCCTACGTCACAACATCTACCTGCATGCCAAATTTCAGCCCGATCCATCCAGTGGTTTGGGCTGTGCGTTGATAGATCACTATGTCAGTCAGTCACCTTCGAGCTTTATATATATATAGATTATATGAAAGGTTTTAAGTTTTGTATTTTCCATGACACTAATTGGGTTGTTTTCAAAGATAAAATAAAGAACTAGGATAAAAAGCATTGAGATTGTTTAATTAAAAGTTAAATACGATAGACTTGACAAATCATGTTTATAAATGTAATAAGTCTATTCGTTTATACCTAAACTTTGCCATCGTCCTATAGGTTTGTTTATACATAGGACTGACATTCGTTAGGGTATGCCGGGATTTGTCCTAGTTTAGAAGGCGACCGGGGACCGTCCGTAACGGCTTTTTTTTTTGACTAAGGGGTAAAACCAGTACATTTTTGTGTCAGATTAAAGATGATCATTTATATATAATTTATTATTTATGCCATTTTTTTTATATCGCAATTTCCTCAATTGTATTATTAAACAACAAAATGAACCAGTAAACGCAAATTTATAACAATTTGTAAAAGGCTGCAATCTTTTAAAGGTTTGTCCGGGAAAAACTCAAACCCAGAAGTACTTGTTTTTTAAGGCATTTGTCCCATGATAATTTATGTGATGGCAGTTCTAGATATACAGGAAGTTTTGACTGGTAATTCACATTCTTGACCATACGGTCGGTCAACTTACGCTAGCGCAGTGTCAAAGTGTAGTGTCGCGTCTTGTTTTCGCCTTAGGAATACCTTAATTAACAGTAAGAAAATGGAGATGAATTTGCTACAGATCAAAAACATGAAACTTGTTATTACGATGTCGCGCTCCGACACACGTCTTATAAGTGTGAATACCTTAATATTTGGAAAATAGAGATGAATTTGCTACGGCGAAACGCATCACGTCGCGTCGTGTTGTCTCTGTGCCAGTGTGAATTGAGCCTAACTAACAAAATAATGCTTGCGAAATACGACATTTTTTCTGCGATTTACCATTTAAAATAATGCTGATTTTAAACGTAGAGTACACACATTTATAAACTGTGCTATTTAATTTTTTTTGGAATCTATGTCAGTTATTGTAAATTTATCACAGCTGCCCGACAGTGCATTGTTAGGTCACGGACGAAATCCAGCTTTTAATTTTGTTAAAATGTTGATTGGCACTGCTGTCGCTACGATCCAATGTGCTCTTATATCAAGATTTTGACTATAATACTCGCATGTGACAATTGCATTTTACCTAATATGATATACCTACTTGAGTTGTCTGAGTTGTAGCCAATATGACCATGATTTGTAGAATATTAGGGAACATTATTGATTTGATTGATTTTTAATCAGAACTTACGCTCAGTACGAATCGAAGGAAATATTTGAATGCCAATGCAAATAGATTAAGCCTTTTTTTGATATTTTATGAAAGTGACCTTAAGAAAATAATGTTGTAATAGGTAATTAAAATCTTTCTTAAATGGAAATTTATCTTTTTTTCAGAATGTGCCTCACATGGCGAAATACAGATCCAAAAAAGGGCAGCTGCCTTTTGTTGAGCTCAACGGTGAAGAGATCGCCGATAGCGCTTTCATTATCAAGGATCTATCCGAGAAATACAACAAGGATTTAGATGCGGGTAAGTTGCCCTGTTATTACCACCTCCATAGCTATTTATGTCGCGGTGGCACCAACGAGCGCTTTGCAATGACTTTAGAAGCTTCTTCTTATAGAGTAATTTGATAACCCCATAGACATAATTTTATAAAGACCATTTTCATGATTTATGTTATGATTTGAGTGTGCAAAATTTTCTAGAACGCTCTCAAATGAACACCATTAATTATAGTTTGTTTTAAGTTTGTATATGACCTGCGATGCCCTAGGCGTATAGGTCATCTAAGGTTTTCGCGCATGTGCATCTGCAGCATACCCAGCGAAACAGCTAACTCTTCCTGACCCATTTGCCTGTTCCAGCTCTGACACCGGAGCAGCGAGTGGTCGCGCACGCTATGATCTCGATGATCGAGAATCACCTCTCGTGGGTGATTCTGTGGTGGCGCGCCAAGTATCCCGACAGCGTCATCAAGGGCTACCAGGTCAATCTGCAGAACGCACTCAACACAAGTCTACCAAATCCGATCTTAAACTTCTTCTACAAACTTACGTCTGGACGCAAGGTGGGTTTGTTTATTTTCTAAAATACCAATGTAAATATTAATTGCGTTAACTGTGCTGGCATAAATAACACATGATTTTGTGTTTAAATAAGCGTACTTGATATGGTATTGCGACGCAACATGCAATACAACACGTACTCTTTGTACGATGTGGACCGTATTTGTTGTTAGTGTGTGTACGTGCTGAGGAATGTAATACGCGCCTAGTCAGTCGGCATGGTGAGGAATAAGGCGCGAGGTATTGCGAATTATTTACTGTATCGATTTTGTATCTAGAAATTGTAGTTTATTATCTTCTCGCCCGTATAAAAGCTTCAATTATACACAGTTTAGTAATATGATCCTTTCCTTCGGGTCGTCAGATACTATCTAATTTAAAAGTATATAAGTCTCAGATAACAGAACAAAAGGCAGATGGAGCGCATGGAACACGCAAAGCGTGACGCCACAACGGATATGAAATCAAAAGCGAATATCAATTAGCGTCAGTGCGATTCACAAAGCACAGAGATGGCATGATGTTCCGTAACTTTTTAGATTTTATCAAAACAATGCCGTCCTGAACGAAGATAGAATATCATTTCATAAGTATGGACACTTAACTTGCCTTTTTTTAGTATTAATTTTACGGCTAATTTGGAACACAAAACCTCGAGAGAAGACAAGCGGTGTTCTTAGTTTACACTGAAATTATTTCCCTAAAACAGGGGTAAATGCATGGGGAATAGGAAGATTGATTTTTCGATAGAGGCAAATTCAAAGTAGCAAGCACCTACTATTTGTTACATCATAGGTTTATATTACAGGTTTTTATGTTCATAATTTGACTTTAAATTATTAATTTATTCTTTCTACGTATTTTCTCTTTGTAACACAGCACGTATTTCTTTGGAATATTTTTATTTGGGTGTTCTTTTTAGGGTTCCGCACTCGAAAGGTTAAAACGGAACCATATTGCTGTTATTATATCGTCTGTTGGCCTGTCTGTCCGTATGTCACGAGTCTCTAGATAGTAAACGGAATGAGTTACTGAAATTAATTAGCATGCAAGTTATTTAGATGTACCTACCAATTTTCAACGATATGCGTAAATAATTGTTGGAAATATTGCTGGATGTGTCAAACGATACGCCAGAAAAGTAATCCAATATGAAAATATTGTTTTCATTTCTCATTCTCGGAAAGTGGTGTTGTTTTGATCTGTTTGTTGGGTGGAAAATGCTGCTTCCCTCTCTAGAGAGGGAAAAACTCATACAAATTACTTCCCGCCTAAGGGCCGGAATGAACTTTAAAAATAGAACTACTGTCAGGCGTGAAGTTTTTTGTAAAAAAAAATGCTGCCGCCATGTGAGTTTCTAAACAGCCAGTGTGAACTTAGCACAAACTTCTTTGAGCGGAATAAGCCGCAACAATTACGCTGTTCCATATTTAAATTTAAAAAGTCGACATAAATTGGCGGGATACTAAACTGTTATGCATCTGTTATGTGATGGAATAAAAAAATAGTAATAATAATCTTTTAAGTAAAACAGAGCAATCCAACTTTGAATATTAAAAATGAGTTCAAGCAATTCAGAAATGTTGACACCGGATTCAATTAAAGACGAGGCAAATTGTGTTATAGAGAATATTTTGCCAGAAATGTTAAAAAAGAGATATATAAATACATACAATGATTTTATAAAGTGGTGAGCAGAGAAGAATATAAAATCGTTTTCCGAAAGTGTATTTCTTACATATTTTAATGGACTGTCTAGCAAACTACAGGCTCCTACAATTCGCCTCAGCAGACAACTTCCAGGGAGTATCCGCCATGGAATCCATCGTTTGATGAAATAACAGAGTGTCCTACTTTTACAGATATCCAAAACAGCCAAATTTGTAATATTATATCAAACAGCATAGTTTCAAACAAGAATGTTACTTTTAATTTCAGTAATTGGCCTAATATGATAATTAATTTTAAATAGCTACTTCTAATTTTATGGTATGTATATATAACTATTTATGAATAAATATTTTTGTTAAACAACTAGTTTTATTTTCCTCATATTCGAAATGAAAAGTACAGTGTTTAACTCGGGTAAAAGAATCAATTCCTACTCGGACTATAGTCTAAATACCTCGGGAATTGAGTCTTTCCACCCTCGGTTAACAATCTACTATTGACACCTTTAGTTTCTACAGAAAAACAAGATATACATAAGCTAATTGAGTTGGGAAATAAAGGAGGTTTAATATTTCCTTCAACAGCCACATATGAAGTATATGCAGCAGCAGAAACCATAATACGGAAATTTATTAAAGAAAATATTTTGTTAAAAAGAGAAAATGATTATAAAAATGTTAGTTCTCAAAATTTTAAAAGTTTTATCGGAAACCAAATTATATTTTATCAGTTGGAAGATGAACATCAAGCCTTTAGAATTGATCATAAATTAAGTTTGATTAGAATTGTTCTAGAGAAATACATACATATATGACTGTCCTATTTAGCAAAGTTTGAAACAAATGCAAGGTGTATAGATGCTAAAAGACAATATTTCAAGAAATTGGTGTAAAGTAAAGGTGGCTAACACGTTATTTTAGTATATTATTTTCGGCTACTTCTAAGGTAGAGTTCGCTATTATAGTGGTGGTGACGGTGGAACGGTAAATAAAAGGTTTATTCACTTCACAAGTATAGTTTAACATTAATCTGACTTCGAATATAATTACCTACTTCTTAATATGTTATGCGTGCTATATAGAATGAACCTGACGGGATCGGATTTTATGTGCGACCGGCTTGGGTCACCGCGAACCGTGCGTCGACGCTTATATCAAGTCAGCATTCTTAGAATCCAAATCGACACATTATTATTAAGGGTTAAATTAAATAAACTAACTTTAAAAAATTTAATTCCTTATAAATTACCTATTTCTTAGCTATATCGACCGGACAAGAGCAGGACATCTGATTCTAACAAAAAAAATGCACATATAGCTTTATATTTCACAAATAAGAATTGAACTAACTCCAGTATATTAATCCAAAAGAATAAAATATTTTTTTTTTGATCGGTGCTAATGCACACTTATTAAAACCGTAAAAACATGAATTCATTTGAAATCCCTATTTTTATCATCTAATAGTATGTAGGTAGTGGAAATAAAGACCAAAAAGATATTGGTCCAAAAAAAACCCCAATTGAGATAAAAAAGCGGATGTTTTCTTGGTCCCTAGCAACATTACACGTACACTCCAACAATTTAAGGGTACGTATTACTACATCCTTGTCGCGCACACAAAGCTAGTTGCGAGCCTCACTTTGCTTGTACCGTGCGCTCCATCGGCCTTTTGTTCTGTAATCTGTGAGACAAGTACTATGAGATTGATAAAATTATAAATAATACTTAAAAACGGTCAAACTACAATACTGATAGCCTTTTACTATGAGTAAGAAAGTTTGCCGAGTTGCATTTTGTTTTTCTTTTACCATCGTGCGGGTGTTTGTACTGCGAATTGAATATGAACCCTATATTTACTGTTTAGAAGGCGTCCTATCTTTTCTAACCTCCTACCTTACTTAGTGCTGGAAGTCGTTTATATTTTTTTTTCTTTTCTTTTTAGGGCATGAAGAAAGCAAAAGCCCATGGCATCGGCGTACATAGCCAAGAGGAGATAATCGAGTTTGGCAAGAATGATCTGCGTGTCCTGTCAGATTACCTGTCGGATAGGCCTTTCTTCTTCGGCGACGAACCCACTCTTGTAAGTAATAAATCTTAATTGAGCTTCCATTTGTTTGTTACGATTTATTTCAGAAAAGGAATTGTTTAAGGAAAACCTTTGAAGGATTCCTTTATCTAATTGCCATTTGTATGGACTTAGGATTTCGCTACAAGATTTCGTTTATTTACATTTTGACGCCATTCGAAATGTTGAGCTTTGAGCTTTTTTACCATGTTTTTTTTTCGTGATAATTGCCAATTGTGGTTTACGCCTCAGCCGAGCGTCACTCAGAGTCGTCAATTTAATTTACTGCTTATAAATTAGTAGTTCTATTAGTATTGCAAAGATAATGAAAGCACCAACATTAATTGAAATTAAAAAGTAACGTGGCATTTTTGCGTGCGGCCGTTAATCATTTATAACATTCAGCATTATGTAGTTTTATTGCTTCTGAAAAGTAGCAAATTTCGGGAGTACCAAACACTTGTAATTCTTATAGAGTATTTATCACCGGGGTTCTGGAAACCTTCAACTTGACCACCCGCGACTAAGAGGATGTTTTCGCTATACGTTAAGTTTCTTCCAGTCCAGCGCGCTGTGTTCACACATCACATATCTTTATTAAAAGCTCCAGTTGACATTACCTCCTCAACTATGGCCTTCACATTTATTCCTCTTCCGCATTTCGCTTTTTTATCCCTGCGGTGAGGGAGAAAGAATAGTACTCCCCGTCCCTTCTCTTCCCTTGGATGTCTTAAGAAGCAACTAATGGCTAACGAGCTTCCATCCGCTCTTCTGGTGGTAAGCTGACTGGTTTGCTTCTACCCGGCCAACTACCGGCCAATAGCAGTCACCTCAGTATCATGTTAAGTCCTAGAAAAGGTCCTTAACAACTATTTGACCCGCTACCTAGAGGATCACTCCCTGATTAGGGATCGTCAATATGGTTTTAGACCTAAATGATCGACGGGTAATCTTCTTGCGTACTTGATTCATATCTGGGGTGAGCCTATCGACAAGCGGGGCGAGTCGTTGATTATCAGCCTTGACATTGCCAAGGCGTTCGACAAGGTCTGGCACAAAAGCCTTCTCTTCAAGCTTCTGGTATACGTTCTGCTCCTGCCTTCCTGCATGAGCGAAGAATTTGTGTCCTTACGAATATGTAAGTAGTTCGCGGTTTATATCAGTGAACGCCAGCGTTCCTCAGGGCTCCGTCTTGTCCCCCACTCTGTGTCTGCTGCATATCAATGACTTAATTCCTCTTGGGAATATTCATTGCTATGCAGTCGCTAGTACAGTGCACGCGGGATATCTTGGACAATCAGCGGCTGAACCGGTGGTAACTAAGGAGAAACGGGAGAATCTTATCATTGAGCTCAATCAGGCTTTGGACCTCATTTGCGAATGGGGTACCAAGAGTTTAGTTGAGTTCAATGCTAAAAAAACCCAGGACTACGCTTTCACGACAAAAACGCGCCATTCCTGTCATTTCCTTCTCTTCAGAGCATAACACAGGAGCTAGAGAGCAGTATCACCATGTTCGGTATGAAAATTCGCTGTGGCTTAAATCCTAAGAATTATATCGAAAGAGTGGTAAAAAAGGCCTCACTGAAACTCGGAGTCCTTAACAAGGTGCGGTGTTTTTTCACGCCTGAGCAACTGTGCTTGTTGTATAAGATGCAGGTGCGGTCTTGCGTGGAATATTGCTCGCACCTCTGGGAGGGCTCCCCCAAGTACTTGCTCGATGCTTCGGACAGCGGCGCGCAATCCGCAACATAGGAGATGAGTAAACACTTCGAGCCTCTTCAATTATGCCGTGACGTGGAGTCACTAAACGCGTTCTATCGTCTGTACCACGGCGAGCGTTCTGAGGAGTTATTCTCCCTTATTCCACCTTCCCCTTTCCTTCACAAGACCACGCGCGCTGGCCTACGTTGCCACCGACTAACTGTGGTCACTATTCCAACGCATAGAAATAAATTTGGTGTCTGATTTCTTTGTCGCACTATCCGTAAAAGGAATGCTCTGCCCGCTCACGTGTTCCGTCCCTATTACAACCTGGGATCCTTTAAAAGAGGCATGAAGAAGCAACATGCAGGCAGGAGAGTTGAGGATGGCTGTTGGCAGGTAGGACTGCTGTACCAGCTATCTTCGCGTCTGGACTTCACCGTCACTTTAAACACCTATCTATAGAAAAAAAAAGCCCACAATAGTGCACAGCTCCCTGTTGCTGGTCTGCTGGGGCGCCATATCTATGGTACCGTCTCGTCCCGGTTCGGCGGCTATGTTTTGTTTTCTTCCTTTCCATGTCTTTGATCTGCTGCTAGTGACAATTGGACTCACTTCACTGTGAGGAGTATTCGTTTAAGAAAGACCAGCTGAGTTTTGACGATCTTGTTGATTTGACATATCACACTTCAATAACGGCCTCTGTTATCATCGTCAGAGGGGGATCCTCAGGTAAGAGGTCCCAGTTTGACTTGGGTCCCGTAAGGCGATAATCTTCTGCAACCTGCTTCTCTGCTCTTCAATGCCGCGTTGTCTAGAGTAGCCACTTCAGCAAACTCCAGATCCGTACGGGCAGTGTGAACTGTCGGAGGCGTATGCGTTTACTTAATATACTTACGAAAGTTTTCTTGTTTAACATTAAATAACAATTTATATAAATGTTATTTTAAGTGATTAATGTGTATGAAATTCTATATTATTTTTATTATTAAACATGCTTCCGGTGGTGCTTTTCAGACTTCTTCGTCACAGAACTTATAACTTTTCCATATAAACAACTTGTTATATGAACACGGATTAGTTCCTTCCCCTATCACATCACCACACCCAAATTGATTCTCTACTCGCGTTCTCCTATTACTATTTAGCTCGACGTGGTGGCGTTCTCGAATCTCGCACAGCTCCAGTTCCTCGACAAGGAAGTGGCTCACCCGCTGCGAGATGCGATGAACGAGTCATTCCCAAACCTGGTCGGTCTCGTGTCGCGCATCAAAGAACGCGCGTTCCACGACTGGGAGGAAATCTGCGCCACCCTCGATCTGAACGCGCACTTGCCCAAGCCGCCCAAGGAAGTGAAGGAGACGAAGGAAGGCACCGGGCCCGCTGAAAAGCAACCGCTGCCGGACGACACAGAAAAGGGCAAGGTAAGTAGCAATACCCTAAGAAACAGTACAGGGCAAAGCAATTATGTCAAATTTCCACCTGAAACCGCGTGTACTCAGCGGGTAAGAAGAAAAATGAAAAAATATTTTAAACGCCAATTCCTCATGAAAAATTTTAAACTTGCGATTTGAGCCACAGCAACAATTGAGGGGAGATAGCAAGCTGCTTCCAAACGCGTTGATAAAGTTGTATTCAAAATATCTTTGTCACAGAATGGTATTGTAAATTTGTACTTTCTTATTAGAAGATATTTTAATGCAAAAGTTGGTCTAGTACCCATTGGACCCTCAAGATTCGACCCAAAAGCAAAAAGTGCCCATTGGACCTCTTTTTTGGTGTCCATTGGACCTTCTTAAAACATTTTATATTCAATGTGCCCATTGGACCTCCTTAAAAATTTTATATTCAGTGTGCCCATTGGACCTCTTTTTAAGTGCCCATTGGACTTTCAAAATTATACCCTACTGCCAGTTCGACCTTATTAACAGTTTTGTTAAGCCCAGTACAGTCATGTAGAAAATTGTAGACAAAAATAAAATTAATAGTAGGTATTATAAAGCCACTAACTAAATACTGTATAAGTACCGACTCCAAACAGTAAGTAGTCCTAAACAAATTATAAAGAAATCAGGTTACCTTTTTTCTTCGAATTAACGACATTTCGCCGTCCCCGGAGAATAAAAAGATAACTACAAAAACGTAAGTTTTCAGGAAAAATAAAAAAAAACTGTTTTTTGTCTATTGCTCTATAAATACTGGACGCAGACAGATGATAGTAACCTTTAAGAAAAGCAAATTTTTAACACATTTGGATTTTTTTGTAAGATACTCGTACAATAAGATTATTATAGAGATATTTAGAAAATAAAAAGTGAATCAAAAGTAATCAAAATTTAATTTGTATAATGTTTATTTTTATTTTATTCGTATTGACAAGGAGCCAAAACCAAATATTGCACTACTGACATGTATTTTTATTCTATGTGTTATAAGGGTGCAAGTGACAATGATAATACTTCAATATCTTTTTTTTTTCGTAAATATTGTAAAACCTTTTTTTCTTTAAAGGGCATAATATATGTTTGTGCTTTTGGTTTAAAAGAATGATCATTAATTACATTAATTTAAAATTTAATTACATTAATGATCATTAATGTAAAAAGGTTTCACTCAATAGGGCGATCGTACACATAAATACCCTTACAGCGCAACACCAAATCCACAAGACCTTTCAAATCGAACAAAGTTAGATTGATTCAAAGTTCCTTAAAACAGCTTGGATCTAGACAATCTAAGCAACATTATGGTGGATTTTGCAACGAAATCATCTTATGATCTAAGACTGAAATTCTGAGGTAGATTGAGTGTTTTTATCGACATTTATACTCCTCCTAAGCACCTAATGAAAGGAAGGTTATAGATTCCAAGCCCAAGCAATCTCTGCGCTTAAACAAAAGGATGGCGCCGATCTCATATGTGGGAGAGAGAGAGAAAATTTGCTGTCTCGTTCCGATTTATGACCTATGTTGTAGCTAGAAAATAATCTTACAACCAGTGTTGCCAACTCTACGTCTTTTTAAGTAGATCTACGTATTTTAGGCCCTTACTGGAAACCTACTAACTTCAGTCCCAGAATCTACGTATTTTCTTATTTTTTTCAAAATTGTATAATAACTTTATTCACTAGAATAAAGAAGAATATTTTCCGTTACTTTACTTAAAAACTATACAAATGTTTATTTCTTATAAAGATGTATCTAAACACTCTTGTATCTTGTAGAAAAGGTTCCCGTTATTGGTTTTGTTGACTAAATTAATGCAGGATGCAGGGTTTGTGAAAGCAGAAACGACATAACTCTTTAACTTAGTAGGTACATTCATAACTTAAAAATTGTATTTTAAACTTTAAATATTATCAATGAGTACCTACTCACATCGAATTGATCTTTGCCAAAAGAAATGACTTTCAGTCGATAAAATTAGAAGATTTAGCAAGTTTTAAATATATGTTCAACTTTTCTAGAGTCTTTTACCAAGTGTATCATGATAACTACTATATTTTTCATGTGATCTATTAGAAATCATGGTTTTATAATATTAACTTAGAAAGTTTATTTCCTACGTGCTTGCGAGTGTTTGTTTACAAATGTTTTGACGTCATAGCATAGATAAGTCTATAGACTAAAGAGCGTTTTTGTATGTCTTCTAGGTAAAAAAAAAATTATCTGTTTGATAGAACAATTACAATTTAAAACATAATTCCAAAAAGTGTTTAACAACAATTTATCCTTGTCGTTCTCTATACAGAATGAAAAGGAGATTCTGATATGAAATTTAGTTTTAAATTTAGAGGACCATCCAGAATCGACACCCTAAAGTGTCTGTGTCTGATGGTAAATGTCTACCACAGCATGGTAAATGCTTCCAATGCAGCGACTTCTCCAAGAACTCTTTCTTCTATCTCCCGTTCTTAAACAAATTGTATAGCAAAATACTCGTTTTATTCGGTTTCACCTAACTTCTTCATTTCACTCAGAAAAAAGGACGTGGATCTACGTACTTTTCATATGCAAAATTTACCGATTCTACGTAATTTTCTCATCGGGCCTACGCCTTTTTCAAAATCCGAGTTGGCAACACAGCTTACAACCGTAGGCCATTGCTTAGAAAAATTACTCACATATGTATCTTAAATATTTAATTTGGTAATTTATAATGTTTTACAAAAGACTGTTAAATTTTTTATGGAGGTAGGTAGTGGGGTAGTGGGTCTTTCGGCAGACTCCAAGTTTTTATGAGACGCAGCGCACTTAATTGTGAATCGTTTGACAAAAAACTAGAATTTTATTTTATCCCGGTTTTTTATATTAAAATAACATAAATCTATCTAATAATTGATTTGCAAATGGCAAGTTTATTTATCTATTTTTTGTTGCCAAGCATCAAATATATTATATTCAATGTGTAACAAAAGCAGTGATAATAATTTTGATAATAATCCATGACTGGACTGATTGACATTTGCCATAGTGATTGAGTTGACGTTATAAGCCACCACGCACTAAAAATATGACGTTACTAAGATAGGGTAGCCAGCATACTTAAAAAATTGTTTAATTATTAAACACGATTTTAAATTAATCGGTAATGAATAAAAAAATCAAAGTATCTATTCATGTTATACAAACTTTCAAAATACATATATTTCGTCCCTGCCGGAAACCGACTACCGCTTTTGAACCATATCCTTTAGTTAAAGTATGTTTTTATTATAAGCAATTTCTGGCTAATTGTAAAAATATGATTAGAAATCATTTTTTTATAAAATGTAATATGAAAATATTACATTAGTATTTTATTTTATGACTATTTAGAATACATAATAATTGTGCTTCAATAGTTAATGTGAGTGATATAAAAACTGTATGTATAATTTAGTTAAGATATCTGATAAAAAAAACATTTCTATTTAAAAGTAAAATAACAAAATCTGTGATTTGATTATTATATTCTATGGTTTGTTGCTGATGATTGATGTTTCGAATTTTATAAATATGTTGATTTTAAATACTTACATTTATAACCTTTGTGCTTTTATTTATTTTATCAATATTTAGAATATATAATAATTGTGCTTAATCTATGTGATATAACAAACCATATTTATAATTAAGTTAAGCTATTTGATAAAAAATAATTTCTATTGGCTTTAAAAGTAAAGTAAAAAATCTGTGATTTGATTATTATATTTTTTGTAAATATTTATATTGGTTGTTACTGATGGAGAGTTTTGAATTTTATAAAAATGTAGATTAAATACTTAGAATTATAACCTTTGTGTTTTTATGTCTTTTACAATGTTACTTTACTACACGATTGTACTTTACCGTTCCAAAAGAATTAGCCAAATAGTTAAGAGCTCCAATAGCTCCCATTGTGTTGTTAAGTACGTCTTTGAGGGTCCAATGGGCACCATGTTCTTGATAGGAGGTCGAACGGGCACTTTTTTGTAGGTAAGGTCCAATTAGGAGGGTCCAATGGGTACTAGACCCAAATTCCGCTACCAACTGCTACTACCTTGGAAAGTTTAAGGAATTTCAGTAGATGCTTTTGCATAACTTTATACATAATTTACTGGTCAGGTTAGAACTATCATCAATATTACATAAGTAACATGTAAATCGTTACAGGGCGACGAGAAAGAGAAAGAATTAGAGAAGGAGCCAGAAGAAAAAAAGGAGAAGGACAACGAAAAGGAGAAGTAAGAAGACACTGAAATACGACACAAGAATATACCGTAATGATACTTTCAAGCTGAATTATACACTTAAGAGTCAGACTCGTAATAGATTCTGTATATTGTAAGCGTGTAAATCCATTTGTCTTTCCCATTTCTTTCAGTTGTCGACGCCCGTGCGTCTTACGCTTTATTATTGATGTTTTTTTCTATTTACCATTTTATATAAATTTTGGTCGGTGTCGTCCCGTACTCGATATTTATTATCGATATATAAGGCGCGTCTGTCACGGCCGTTTCTCGTCTGATGTTATGCAGTTACTCATATTATTGTAATAATTGTGTAATAATTATGTATGTTTTATGCTTAATATAAATGTATTCTATAAAATGTCTTGATTCCACTTATGTTTCGAAGTTATGAATTGAATTATATCATAAAAATAAATTTGGTTGTTAAGGTACTTACAGGACTAGTTAATCATTATTATTCATATTAATAGAATTTAATAAGAAAACGTAAATGTTTACATTCATATAACATTATCTCGTTACGTAAGTAAATTGACTCAATTTGATATCTATTCAATTTAATGTAAGTGTAACTTAGGGAGCGTCACATGACTAAATGTTAGTATCGTCGTAACGTAATAGGTGTAACCATTTATAGAGATTCATAGTTAGTTCATTCACGAATTCATCCAAATCGAATAGCGCCCTACTTATTATGAAATTTTAATGCTACAAAAGTTAAGTCTAGTGTAATACCAAAAATTGGCTGACGTTAGTAGGTAATTAAAGAAAAGTAATGCAATTTGTCTAAACAAAGCTCGTTTCCATGCAACATGAAAAGAGCGGGCGTGTTGATTAGACTGTTTTGAAATTCTTGACTTTATTGGTTTTTTACAAATAAAAATTTACAATTTACAATTTTTGATAAACGAGAAAGCCTGGAAGACTGTTTTTTCATGTTATTATTGTAATTCATAGTCCATAAAATTTTGATATTGTATTAATTGTTAAGATTTAGGAAAGGTTGTACTCATATTTTATATGAGCAGTTAATAACTATCCATATTTATGATTCTAAAAATTGGTATGGTGTATTGAGAGTCGTTTACCGCCTCCCATAGCCCACTGGAAGTAGTTAAAGCATTCTGAATACTCTTCGTCATTCCTCTATAGTACATACGTTTTACTTCATTACTGCATTTATTTCAAAGCGCAATATACGTAATTTATTGTTACTCAATACTCAATTAAGACTGCTTTATTAGTATTTACTGTACATTTAAATTAGAAACAGTCACAATATTCATTATTTCTTGATTTGGAGCGTTATTCACTGAAACAGGCTTATTTCATTATATTTTGTCATTACCTTATTTGTGTAAGTTTTTGAAGGTATATTTTATACATTCCACAATATTATTTAGCTCACATTAGCAGTGTCTTAATCCAATTCGGTTTTATCAATATATATTTGGGCAGGTTAAACATAAAGCAAGGTTGTATAAATTGGGGTTGTAAAGGGGGGAGCTTCGCGTTGTGACCTTTGCTTGAGAGTAGATCGTGAAAAAGTCGGTCGTTGTTCGTTAGGCGATAAAATTACACTTTTGAATTTCTGATGCCAACTTAACTTGAGTACGATAATATTAGAGATAGTTTCTGTAAGTTTACCACTGTTGTGGTGTTGCTGAGGCGTCATAAGTAATCGTAAGGTAATATTCGATAGATAGATAGAGTAGCAGACGGGGGTGCCGCGCTACGGTAGGGTAAGGACGAGCCGGGCCGAATCATTGGTCTCGTTCCACTCGTAGATGTAATACCAATAAACTACTATGTGTATAAAAATATAATAGGTGGATTTTTGTTTATTATAAGATTTTTTATTGACATTTTTGGGGAATGGTTGACACTGATGTCCCTCCCGACAACTGCTGACCATCACTGCCATTAGTCTCAGGTATAAGGTTTTATGAATAAGGAAAAAAATAGATTAGGAAATGTGGATGAACTATGAACAAAGTGTACCTACCGCTTGGTAGTCTTTGCTCACAGATGGACATCGACGAGTCGGATATCTAACATGTTTCACACTATATATTTGTATTCATGTTAAACACATATTTATTGACTGTATAAGGTATATGCGTCATTTCTGGGTGTTGTTGTTCTCGAGCCTGTTTCAGTGTAATGCAACATCTCGTTAGAGTACATATGAAAGTTAGCTGAATGTCATCATGAATGTTATTATCACACAGTAAAAGCTGAACTAGTTGAAAAATTGTCACCCTCATACATGTGAAAACTTTTATTTGTCGTCACAGGCCGTAAGTAATTAGTGCTAAGACTAAACTTAAAACACATTTTACGTCACATCTAAATTCATATAAGTATTTTAGTAATTAAAAATGGGGCAATAAACAATTTTACTTACCAACTGGTGGGAGAATATCATAATATATTTATGTTTCATTCCATATTAGATATATACGCCTCACCCGAACGGTATTATCATTCTTTATTGCCTCATAAATTCGATTGTAATCTACATGGTAATTTTACTTAACGACACATATTCTGACTTGACGTGTATTGTTGTAAGTTAGTGCTATTATACAAATTAATCTTAAATATAGATATTTCAAGTATGTTCATATTAATAGAACAGTAGAGAGAATTATAAGAAAAAAACTGATTTATGAAAACTGTCTTGATGATTATTAATTTTATATTCCTTCATTATAGTAAGTGTGGTTTTCAATTATCGTGTCAATGATATTTAAAACTAAACGTATTCAATTAGATATTAATTGTTAGCCATAATTTTACCGACTAAACACAACTGAGCTTTCCCTGGACACAATGTTCTCTTAAGGATTTCAGTGTAATTTTATGTCGCCATTAAAGTATGTATCTACTATTTCTTGAGTACTGTAAGGCCTTCGTCTTGGTTCTTATCGCTGAGAACCAATGCGAAATCCGAGCGGGTTGTTTTATTTTTGTAATTCATCTTTAACTATAATATAAAAGCGTTGAAAATGTTATTATCTTGGCGCGTTTAGTCGGCCTGTGTCGTTCTGGCTGGCCACCCAAGCGCCACCACCTCTGATTTGAATATAAATCAATTATTATCAATGAAATAAATAATGTCATTTCGTGTAACTGCTGAAAGTACAGTGTGTCAAGGACATGGACCAAATACAAAGATGAGGTTTTGTAAAGCGTTTACAAAAATAAGAATTCAGAAAAATATTATTTAAACTATTTCTTAAGGTTCGATCCCACAATGTGTGTTGACGAGGAAGCGCCGCGCAGGGTTACCAAACGTATGAGAACTCTAACGTTTCAGTTTTAGCAGTCTCTATACATAAACGAGGTAAATATGAATTAAAATTGGCGGAAAATTTTGTTTGACGAGTAAACAATATGGCCCATATTGTTATATGGCATCTCCATTGGGTCATGCGCTAGCATCACTATATACTTTGTCATTGGGACAAACACATAGACATATTAAGGCGCTTTTCAGACGACGGGGCGGGGCGGGCCGGTCAATTTCGCCGCGAATAATAGCACAAAGTGAATCCTATACTTCAAACGCACACAGAGGGCAAAAAGACCGCGCCGCAGGTGCCCGGCGGGCAGTGGCGGCGCGGCATGTCCGCGGCTGCCCGCCGTGGATCATACAAACCAGTTTATATGCAGTAACGCAGACGGCGGCACGGGGCGGCTAGCTCAGTCGATGTCTGGTCTGCGGCTGCCCGCGCCGCGTACACAAAGCACACGACGGGCAGAGGCGGTCAGTTTAGGACGTTCGTTCTAGTGAATCGTGGCGCGGACTGATCTGACTGCCCCGCGCCGCCGTCTGCGTTACTGCATATAAACTGGTTTGTATGATCCACAGCGGGCAGCCGCGGACATGCCGCGCCGCCAGTGCCCGCCGGGCACCTGCGGCGCGGTCTTTTTGCCTTCTGTGTGCGTTTGAAGTATAGGATTCACTTTGTGCTATTAGGCGTTGAGCAGACGACGGGGCGGGGCGGGCATTTTGTCCGCGAAGCAATAAAGACCGCGTCTGCCCGTCAATGTCTGCGGCTGCCCGCGCCGCGTACACAAAGCACACGACGGGCAGAGGCGGTCAGTTCAGGACGTTCGTTCTACAAGCTCGTGGCGCGGACTGAGCTGACCGCCCCGCGCCGCCGTCTGCGTTATTGCATATAAACTGGTTTGTATGATCCACGGCGGGCAGCCGCGGTCATGCCGCGCCGCAGGTGCCCGGCGGGCACCTGCGGCGCGGTCTTTTTGCCCTCTGTGTGCGTTTGAAGTATAGGATTCACTTTGTGCTATTATTCGCGGCGAAATTGACCGGCCCGCCCCGCCCCGTCGTCTGCAAAGTGCCTTATCGTAGACAGACAGTTAAACCAATAGACAGATGGAAATCGTGCCTCTATGTGAGAAAACGATTTTTTAAAATTTATTCATGACCATGGATACTATAGTACTTCAGTCGTATACATAGGTAAATCCAAATCTTAATCTTCTTTTTTTTTAGAATGTCAGTGTGACGCATTTTAATGCTTGGTATGTTTCGCAGGCAATGTATCGAGTTGACTTTCGATAAGCTTCTGTGGCTTAAGCTTCAGGTAGTCAACATTACAATAAAGTACTCGCATCCACTTGACCGGTATAGCGTATATTTTAAAGATTCCACAATTTTTTCAGTTGTGCAGTTGTAACACAAAATCACACCAATTTTATTTCACAATAGTAACTATATAACCAATTTAAGAATAATTAAAATAAGACGCCAACCGCACTCGGCCAAAAACTCACAGAAAGAACGATGGGTACCGGGTGCTGCCATATCAAAACTTTTACCCTTATAAGCAGGTATTGAACGCAGACGATACTACTGCTCGATATCCTACACGAAATTTCTTAATGAAAGGTTTACCTTATTAATTAGTTATGGTCAAAAGTTAATATTAAATATTGCGATTTTCTATTTATGAAAACAATAAATTGATGTTCCCATTGAGGATAAAATTCTAATCGGAGTTATTAAAAGCGTATTTTGTAAATGTTTGAAACAATGTTGCGAATTAAGCCATATGTTTTCAGAGTTGATTACGAAAACGAATGACAAAAAGCACATACACGTGTATGTGTTTTTGATTCCACCATAACTTATTAATGCGCGAAGAGATTTATTGGGTATCGTTGGTTTACTAGATGGGTAATGTTAAAAAATGTAAGCATTGTATTAGAAACAATAACTTTATTACTGTCACAAATAGTAAGGGCGAGGTCCTACAAAGCAGAACTGAAAGGATAATCATGTTCTTGCTAAATTGTATACAAACTTTAAATAATGCAAAGTAATGTAAGAAACGACAAAATTGAAGAAAATAATGAATGTTCTTGTCTTAATAGAAAAATCACATTGAACTGGTAGACTGGTAGAAATATAA